ACGGGACTGTGGCGTGGTTGCCCGGACGTGGAAGCGCCTTGTCCCGAGGGGTCAATGGCCCATTTTCTTCTCCTCGACTACCCGTGAGTGGCTTCTGCTCAATTTAACCAGCCGTCTACTCCCAACGGATAGTGATTGGTCTACCCTTTTTGGTGTGACGGCATGGTGTTTGTGGCATTGGCGGAACCTTAAAGTCTTTGAAGGCTCGGATACGACAGTGAAGGGTCGTGTTCGGGAGGTTCTGGCGTATTCCTCTCACGTGGGAGCCGCTGTGGAGAGTGGCCAAAGGATTTGTGCGAGCACCCGATGGGAGACGCGGTGGCTTTCTTGGTTGGCTCCTCTACTGGAGACCTTGAAGGTCAACACGGATGGGAGCTATGTCCCGACAACGGGAATGGCCAGTGTTGGGGGCGTCATTCGGGACTATTGTGCGCTGGATCCATGGTTTCACGATGAACATTGGTTATTGCTCTATTATGGGGGCGGAACTCTGGGGTTTGTTCCAGGGCCTGCAACTGGCTTGGGATATCAGGGCTCGTAAGATCATAGCTGAAGTTGACAATCAGGTGATTATAGCTATGATTCGTCGTGAGGATGTTTGTGGGCCGCATGGTAGCCTTGTCAGGGCTATCCAGGAGCTGATGGGTCGACCTTGGGAATTGGAGATTATCCATTGGCATCGCGAGACAAACTTCGTGGTCGACTTTCTGGCGTCTTTGGCGGCTAAAGGAGCGGGTGGCTTGCACCAGTTTGACCGCCCTCCGAATGGGGCGGGATTGTGGCTCACTCATGATATTGCGGGAGTGTCTCACCCTCGTCGTGTCGTGATTAAGCGATAGATATATCGCTTCCTTTCCAGCACAAAAAAAAAGGTTTACTTAAATAAATAGAGGGAAGAAAAAATATATATTTCTTGAACTTGGTAACAACAGCACAAAGCTCAATGCCAAAGGTACAACAGCATTACGAGACCAAATGCAGTAATTTTGACATTTTTTTCCAGAGAAAAATAATACTATTAATTCCAGTAATTTCAACCTTTTCATACAAAAACAGTACAAATAATTAAAATACTATAGTATAACATATTTTAATTATAATTATATTTTACCTTGCTACTAATTCTTTTAGTTACTTTTTTTAATGGGATACAATAAGGCTTTTGCTATAAACTTATTTTAATTGTTTATTTTGTTTTGATCAACTCATGTGAAGTTGGAAGTAACTTATTTTAATTGCTTATTTTGTTTTGATAAACTCATATAATACTGAAGTATGATTCATCTATGTTTTACATATCTACTGTATATTTTATTTTCTTATAAAAATACAATGTTAAATATAGAATTATCATTCATAATTGAGTTATGAGTATAAAAAAATACAGTTTAGAAACTAATTAAAAAACAAATTAATTATTCATCGAACTGTAGAAGTTAGTATATTTATTAAAAAAAAAAAATTAAATTACAAAAAAGGTCTATTTATAAACCAGTTGACCTAAGCAGGAAAGTGCAGCACACGTTTGCAGGCACATCATCAAATTGAAATAATTTTTTCATATATATAAATTACTATTTATTTTATTTTACTTTTTTTCTATAAATATCACCTATCCAGTTAAAAAAAAATAAATCTAATAGTATATTTTACAACTAAAACATTGTTGCCCGTCTTCCAACTCGTGACCCGGCCCAGACCGACCGGACAAAAAAAAAAAAACAATGAACCAGGACCGAACCCGACCCTACGGGTCCGGTTCGACGCACCGGCCCTTAGGTGGTTGGTTCAGGGCCGGTTCGGGACTGGTTTCGGGCCAGATCGGCCCTTGGCCATGTCTAGTTTCATCTTTTGCTTTCTCTCCTTTTCATGCTCATTTACAACTCTACCCCAAAGGCCAATTCTCTTTCACTGCAAATTAAGAGAAATTGTGTGGTACTTTCATATCATCATGCAGCTTTACTGGAACATTTCACCAAAACAAAAAGTAGTTTAGATTGACAAAAATAAATTAATAAATAAATAAATAAATTTTACATGGCTACACCAAAAATTTCTAAAACAATTCCCTCAATTTTTTTATTTTTCTTTCATGTACAAAACAAATCTACCACCATGGCTGATCCACAAAAAACTCAACCAAGTGTACCCGGGAATAGGTCAGACACCAATGTGTCGTCACTTATCCTCGATAAATATTCTCCCGATGAACTCACGAAACCTCTTGGAATAAAGTTTAGGGTCAACAGCCGAGATCGAGGTGGGGTCCACCTGTAGAGATTTGTACGCGCGCTCGAGCTTCTTGCTGATGTCGTAGTCTTGCAAAATGTCTATAACTCCAAAGTAGAGGACCACTTCATGGACTTCACGGCTTCGTGAGGGCCTCAAATTGTTAAAATCGCTACGCCCCGCCACACGTTCGACCCGTGCTGGCATATTTGCACCGAGCCTGATAAGTGGCTTCCTGATAAACGTGTTCGGATATGAAAATAATTTTAGCAATTATTAGCATTTTCGTGATTTTTTTCGTAGATCGATAATCATTGCGAAAAAAATGTATCGAATAAAATTAACATCTGCCCCACAAACAACTGTCATCTCATAAAATGCCATAACAAACAACAATAATATGCCAACCCACCTAGAGGGCTTTTTCTTATTGTTTTCAACTACCATGTTTTAAATTTGATGCAAGAAAAAATAATTGCGCCAAACCTAACCGAATTAAAACATGAGCCAATAAGTTGTGTACTCATGTTTTTCCAGAAGGGATCATTAGAAATTAAAATGAGGCAGTTGAATCTAACAAATGACAGAGAATAAGTCAGCTTGAAATAACAAACCTGCCAGCTAAAATGCGGTCCATATCTTGTAGTTCTGCTTCAAGAAAACGATAACCACGAATGAACTTTTCACTTTGATACGAACTATCCGTTCCTGATGTGGAACAGAAGATATAAGCAAAATCTTCAAGAGCCACAAACGTGAAAAATATTAAAGAGTTTTTTTGCCATGATTTGCACAAATGAGATACCTGCACGTAACGAAAAGGGGGACAAACCAATTTTGTCTCCTGTGCTATCATCACGAAAATGAAGACCCACTAAGAGACTGTAATCCATAATTCTCTCTGCCTCCAAGAACTCACAGTCACGATCAATTTGTCTGAATAATATTAGGTGAATCATGTAAGTGTCAATATCACATAGAAAAAGCTAGAGGCGAAAAGACCGTGTTTTGTAAGTACTAACTTCATCAACTCTTGATACCAATTGCTTTGCAGCCGAAAAACGAAGTTGAGGTCAAGATCCTTGAGAGTCGTGGTTTCGTCAATTTCTCCATTAGGCTTGTCTGTTGTGCGCCCATGAGAGGATCCTTTTAGATCGAACCTTCTATGAATTCGATACTCTGAGCAGAACATATTCCCCATCACAATGAATCGGGTCTAATGTGGAAAAGTAATGTGATAATGATTATCAGTTGGTGAATAAAGACTAATAGAATTAGTTAATAACTTTGAAAAATGATAGCAACAAGTACAACTTACTTTGACACCTCCAACTGGTTTAACACAATGCACGCCGTAGAATTTTGTTACGAGAGAATTTTCATAGCGACATACGTGCTGGTAATAACTTGGAAGCATTTTAGTAAGCACCTGAACAAGACAAATGAAAATATTCAAATTAGCAGCTGAATTTGACCAGAACATGGCCCAAAACAAACACAAACACCTTTTTTACATTGAATATCAAGTTTTTAGGTGCTAAGCATATATTTTAATCCCAGCTCATTGTGCTCTTTTCATGATTCTATGTAACATAATGTTCTCTTTGTTCTTTTTTAATTATTTTTTAACTATGATAAGTTAAACCGGTCGGCAACAAACCTTGACTTCCGATTTCTTCACTGTTTTGATCATGAACCTGTCGTCTTGTGTCAAGTAAAAGAGACTTCCACTCTTCCCTGGAGACGAAAGCTCTCGCAGGGCATAATCACCACAAATAGCTAGCATGTAATCCGCAGGATCTACTTGAAATAGCTCCCTCAAATGTCTAAATTCACCAATAAAAAAAACTCATCACTTTACAATGCAAAACAAGAAAGATAATCATAACTTAAAGTGTTTCAGAAGTTAACTATACTCTAGAAAAGGGACACCTGCTAAGCATATGCCACAACAACAATCAGTTGCACCCAAAACTATATCCAGTATAAAGATTAAACAGAGATAATTTACCTAAAAACCACAGGGCAATAATCTTTCCACCAAAAGTCCATTGATTGATGAGGCGGTGTGAGTTTCGATCCCTCGGGTGCGAACCTAGTCCAGAACTTCTCCTTAGGGTCAAAATCACTCGGCTTAAGGTCACGTAAGACCGAAGAATCTTTCCCCACAGAATACCTGAAGATTTCAATATTTCAAATTAACTCAACAAAAAAATAAAGTAAAATAAACTTGCTCAAATAAACAAAGCACTGATAACAAAACAACTGAATCAACTCCAACTTCTTCTCACCTAATACCCAATTGGAGATTGAGCATCAGATCATAATTCTTATGCCCTTTTGCAATAGTCTGCCCTGGCTTCTTGACTTCCCCACTTACATAATAGGGGTTTCTCCTAAACTGTCTTAGCCCATCCCGGTCAAACAAGAACCCATCTCTGTACAACATAGAGGCCTCAACATTATCAACTATGTCACAAGTTATGTCACCAGCTTCACCATCCGACTCCCAAATGCAAATCCTCGGGAAAGCCCTATCAGCCGCCTCACCAGAAAACCTTCTCTTCGCACCACCGTCCTCAGCCACCACATCCTCAATCTCCTCTCCCACCACCATCAACGGCGTGGATAATTTCTGAGTAAAGCATCCTTTCAAACCCTCATCACTTCCATAACCAGTACCATTCTTGCCATTGTGAGCAGGGTAGAAAGTTCCATTCAGAATCTGGTTCCCCTTACTGTTCTTGCCGGAATTGTTCGACCAGCAGCCGATATAGCAGCTCCCGTCCGGCCAGGTGAAAACCCCATGTCCTTTCGGAACGCCATTTTCCCAATTCCCGTCGTATCTATTCCCATTGTTCCAGACCAAAATTCCTCTCCCATGGATCATCCCATTTTTCCACTCCCCAATATACTCATTCCCATTCCTCCATAGATACCGGCCTTGCCCGTCTTGCATATTCCTCTTCCAGAGCCCTTCGTAGTAATCTCCATTGTTATAATGCTTGACCCCGTAGCCGTGCTTCTGATCCCCAGCCCACGAGCCTCTGTACATTTCACCGTCCGGCCCGATGAAGGTGCCGGAGCCCTCCATCCGGCCCGACCTGAACTCGCCCTCGAAGGTAGCTCCCGACGGCCAGGAAAATTTCCCCTTCCCGCACGCTTTCCCTTTCTTCCACTCCCCCTCGTACATACACCCGTCCCTCCACAGGTACTTCCCGAATCCGTGGGGCGCGTCGTTGTGGAAGGCCCCAATGTACAGATCCCCGTTACGGAGGCGCTTCTCGACGGCCCCATTGTCGCCACCGCCGCCGTCTCCTTCGGGGATGGAGGCAGGCGCCACGCGCCGGCAGGAGGCTTGGAATTTGCTGAAGGGGACGATTTTGACTGGTCTCGGGGTGGTGGCTGTGGCTGTGGCTGTATTCTCCGGCCCTTTCTCAATTTCACTGTCCAAAATCTCTTCATTACTTTTCTTCCTCTCGTTGTCAGCCGGCTTCAAACTCACCACCGTCTCCGGCATTATTCCCCCTTATTTTTCTGCCGGAAACTGAAAATCACAAAAATCGATTTATGCCGACGAAAATTCTAGCTGGTCCTCACAGACTCAAACTCCCGCCGGAAATCGACGGGGAACGGCACCGAAATCCATCTCAAGGAGCATTTTCCGGCCAAACTGCCAAGATTCTGTGCAGAACACAAGCGGAAAAATGAGTTTCCAAATATCTTTTTTCCCGGTGGATTTGAAAGCAAAACAATAAGATAAGAGTTGAAATGAAAGAACAAAGGAACTGAGAAATAACAGGATTGGAATTTTAGAGAGAGAATCGAGTGCGTGGGGTGTGTGTGAGAGAGAAAATGGGTTGCATTTGCAGACATATATAATTTTGTACTGTGAACGTTTTAGGTTGGTGTTGATAAAAATGGTGTAAACCTATACATACACAATTCATACACAATATACACTGAATCTGTCTCTCTACTTATTGTTGTATGATTTTGTTTGTATTGGGGAGATGCCGTCCAGTTATCGAATATTATGTCGGGTTTGTAAACGTTAGATCAACTTTCAACGATGGTCTAACAGTTACAAAATAGATTGTAGCATTTCTCGTTTGTATTATATGGGAAGCAAAATTATATTTTAAATAAAAATATATTTTTATATTGTAAAATATTATATATTTTTAAATTACAATACTTTATTTTGAAAAATACTCATATTAGTTAAAAAAATATGAATATCTGAAATACGATAATGTGATAAAGTTGTGTTGAGTGAAGATGACAATATGGCATACGAATTAAAAACGAGAAAAGTAAACAACACAAGATTTACGTGGTTCGGCAATATGCTTACGTCCATGGCGGATGAGGGATCTTTATTATTCTCAATAGTCTCAAATATATCAATACACCATATATTTATACTATAACCTTACAAGGTATTAATTTACTTAAATATTCCATACCGTACCGCGGGGGCTCTGCCCCCGCACCCCCGGCCCAACTAATCGACCCAGCCCAACAAGGCTCCACTCCGCTCACTTCGCTCGGTCGCTCAACTTCCCTCGCTACGTTCGCTTCATTACGCTCGCAGACATCAGCCTACCTCCTTCTTTTGTCAATATATGAGTCATATCAACAAGTTGTATTTACATTCTTTTGTTTTTAAAATATGACATATATTAATTTAAAAATTACTTTTCAATTAAGGGCAGTTTATGTGTCCCAATTTATGGAAATGAATGATAACGTTCATTTTCCCTTCTTTTTATTTATAGTATTATTGCATATCCCAATTTGGTAGATAATATAAAAATCTTCTTAATCAGCTCTGACGTTAATTACTCTCTATATATAGTGATACCATTTAATTCTTGGTTAATATATTACATAATTAAAATCACTACCTACTTTAGAGGACCAAATTATTAGAACGGATATAGTTTTGGGAGATGCTAAAGTCTCGTTACGGAACTATTCCGTCAGAATTTGTAACCATGAATCATCATGTAATCGTCATTCGTCGGGATTTGTAACCGTCAGATCATCATATACCCGTCAGGGATAATTGACCTAACGAGTACAAACCCCGACATAATGGTTCTATAACGAGACTGTAACATTTCCCTCTAATTTTATTAATTTAGATATTTCTTGGTCCAACGACCTACATTATGGTTTGGTGAACTATATATTATACAATATATTATACAAGATTATAAATATTATGATTAGGATTCATACCTAAGGAATGCCACATGTGATCATAATTTGTCGGCATAAGAATGTTATAGAGTATTTAATTTTCCCCCTAAAATGCTGGCAAAATTATTTGAGACGTGGCTACAACTTATGGTACAATACTTAATTAGGTGTACAGTTGTTAATATATTTGAATTTTATCAATTGTGTACAGAGTATATGTATAAAAGCAAAAGTATTGAATAAATTTCACTATTTTAAGAATTTTCAAGAATCTACCATATTAGCTTGATTTGCATAAACGGATGAAATTCGAATATTCGATCCCTTCATAACTATGCAACACCAACAACAACGACGAGGACAACAACAACAAAAAACAATAATAATAATAATAATAATAATAATAATAATAATAATAATAATAATAATTTTTTAAACTAACTAATTGGTTTGGATCTTTTTTTTTTTTT